TATAGAGTTTTAAATGTGTTCTAATTGCATTCCTTTTTAATATTTCGTGATTGCTTTTGTTTGTTAATATTTCGTGCACGTATAATATTGTACAAATTTCTTTTCTAACATTTCAGCATTATATAATTTCAGATTCTTCAAATTTACAAATAAAAGCTTACTTTGGAGCAGCCTAATTTTTCACTAATTCAAAATAATGCGATCCCAAAGCGGTAAAAATGTTAGAATAGTTCACGAATTCTCCTCTCATAAACGGGATTTCAACTAAACTTACGACGCACATCATTTTACCCCCTAATTCTAACAACAAACAAACAGTTTGGCTAATGGAATTAATAGATATTCCTATAATTAAGAGAATCTTTAGGTGTTACATTTTTCGGAGAATTACAATTACTTTAAGAAAGTTTTTTCAAATGAGGAGTGTAATAATTGTAATTGTGTGTATTCACATGTTAAATTATGATATAATATGAGCCTATTAACAGCATCGTTAGAAATATCATATTCATAATTAATCGGGCATCCGGCGAAGAGTTGCTCATTAAGATACAAAACAAGCTAGCAGAGTCTTACACAATCCCAAATATAAATTCCCTATATAACATGTCTTATATATTAAGAGTAGATGCACGACACAAATCAAAGTTTTTTAAGGGACACAAAAATTGACAGTGGATCAATGGAAGAGATTATTGAAAAGATTAAGGTGGTGTTTTGTTGGGGGAGGGGGGCGCTATGCTCTTCGTTAAATGTACAATTTATTATCTAAAATTTACAATACAAGCAATATAAAATATTATTCTATTTATGATATGTTTCCAAGGAACTTAAGAAGTGAGTGTGTGTTTGTGTGTGTGAAATACATTTATGTATGTGAAAATGTGTTTATATGTGTGAAAAAAATCTTTTTTGTGTGTTAAAATGTATGTGAAAAAGTTTATGTATGAAAATGTATTAATTAATATGTTTGGTCATATTTGGGTTATAGATTTTGAGATAATCCAATATGACCCAACCCAAAATCAATTCAATCTAAAGTTTGACGGGTTAGGTATAACCCATTTAAGTGAAAATTCAATATTAATCCGCCCAAAACCCGTTCAACCCGCCCAATTGCCAGCTATAATGCGCACTCCTATTGAGTAATTTGAACAGAAAAAAGAGCTTATGTATAGAGGTAAGCTATACTAGTTTGATTTTATGGCATTTATTTTCACATTTATTTTGTTATTCACTTCTTCTTTTTCTTGTGTCGCATTATAGTTTGATAGGCACCTATATCTTGGGAGAATACAAGCCAAATAATACTTATGAGGGCACGTAGAAGGTATTTGTCAATTTCTTGCTTATTTTGTGTGGCAAGGTAAGAGGAAAAGTAGTCGCAGCCAAGTTTTATACTAAAAGCCGTGTTAATTAAGGATTTTGTGATGGAAGAGGAGTTAAAACAAAGTCATTGCTCATGTTTACTTTTCTTCATCATTAGTTCTTTCACATCAAAAAAAAAGTTGAAAAATCTTTGCCTTTCATAAGAGGGATAAGAGTTAGAACATGGGAAGGCAATTGACATATTATGAATAGAGATGTACGCGAGTCGAACTACTCGCGAGTACCTCGGTCAACGGCTTGGCTTGAATTCGGGTTGATCTAGTTCGAGCCGAGTTTCGAACTACTCAATTGTCATTCGAGTCGAGTTTCGAGCCAATATTTTGATGCTCGAGGTTTGTCGAGCTACTCGTCGAGTCGGGTGAATTATAAATAATATATTTATAATTTAAATAATATATATATAAAAAATGACCATTATGGGCATAAGTTATACTGAATTTATAATATGCTCTTCTTTGTAATAAAATTTCATAATGACAAAAAAATAATAACATAATTGTAAAAAGACCTAAAAAGAAAAAATGTCTAGAAAAAGGAAAGGAAAGACGGAAAGTGTGTCAAAAAATTGTGAAAAATTCCAGACTTGTTTCTACTTTCTTCTCTGTTCGAAGAAAGTTGATAAAAAATTCACTTTCTATTCGAAGTACATCCCTTCCAACCACAGACTCTGAGTGATTTAGATCTAAACCCTATCTCCGTTACTCTCAGTCTCTCGCTCGTCGCCGACGCCGTTGCTCGCCGCATCTGTCAGACTCCATCGCCATCGCTACAGAGTGAGCTCGCCACATCTGGTTACTGGTATGTCTGCCTCTGCTCTAATGTAGTATGATTGATTACCGCATCTGGTTACTCCAATCATATTGTGATGCCCCCTGACAAATATTCATGTACCGTGTTTGAGTCCAGAAGAGGAATCTTGATAGGAATACTCCTTTTTGGCTTCTGTTGGATATTGGTGATTTTAATAGCCTTAACATAGGAAACAAGCACCAATCTTGTTTATGGGTAAATTTAAGATGACTGGGATGCATGCTACATGTTTGTCAAAATGTGTAAGAGATGACAGAACGAACCTTATTAGCTCTGGAAAGACTGATACATGTCACAGAAAATCACTTGTTTTTTTTTTTGGTAAGAATCACAGAAAATCACTTGTGATGTTTGCTTAAACCAAGTGACCGGGGAGACCCTATGAGCTGACTGCTATCTAACTTACTGTGCGGAGAAGCAGCTGAATCCTGAATGACAAGAGTTTTCAACTTCATTCTTCTAATTCAAAATAATAACTACAATATTCAATACACATATGTCCAACTATTTGTATTTGAACATGTGTTAATAATTCATTGATTAATTTGTATTCAAAATTCTCATATATATATATACATATATATATATATATTTCTTTTCAATTTTAAATAAAAATTAAAATAAAAACTCATGCTTATTTTACTTTTATAACAGTAGTTAAACTTGTTCAACTTCTATAATAATTTATTATGCCTTTTAAGAATATGTTGTTTTCCTCCCATTTTTTTTCTTTTTTTTTGTGTGGTTGTTCTCAAGTTGCTACTTGCTTTTGTTTGTTAATATTTTGTGTACGCAATATAGAGTTTTAAATGTGTTCTAATTGCATTCCTTTTTAATATTTCGTGATTGCTTTTGTTTGTTAATATTTCGTGCACGTATAATATTGTACAAATTTCTTTTCTAACATTTCAGCATTATATAATTTCAGATTCTTCAAATTTACAAATAAAAGCTTACTTTGGAGCAGCCTAATTTTTCACTAATTCAAAATAATGCGATCCCAAAGCGGTAAAAATGTTAGAATAGTTCACGAATTCTCCTCTCATAAACGGGATTTCAACTAAACTTACGACGCACATCATTTTACCCCCTAATTCTAACAACAAACAAACAGTTTGGCTAATGGAATTAATAGATATTCCTATAATTAAGAGAATCTTTAGGTGTTACATTTTTCGGAGAATTACAATTACTTTAAGAAAGTTTTTTCAAATGAGGAGTGTAATAATTGTAATTGTGTGTATTCACATGTTAAATTATGATATAATATGAGCCTATTAACAGCATCGTTAGAAATATCATATTCATAATTAATCGGGCATCCGGCAAAGAGTTGCTCATTAAGATACAAAACAAGCTAGCAGAGTCTTACACAATCCCAAATATAAATTCCCTATATAACATGTCTTATATATTAAGAGTAGATGCACGGCACAAATCAAAGTTTTTTAAGGGACACAAAAATTGACAGTGGATCAATGGAAGAGATTATTGAAAAGATTAAGGTGGTGTTTTGTTGGGGGAGGGGGGCGCTATGCTCTTCGTTAAATGTACAATTTATTATCTAAAATTTACAATACAAGCAATATAAAATATTATTCTATTTATGATATGTTTCCAAGGAACTTAAGAAGTGAGTGTGTGTTTGTGTGTGTGAAATACATTTATGTATGTGAAAATGTGTTTATATGTGTGAAAAAAATCTTTTTTGTGTGTTAAAATGTATGTGAAAAAGTTTATGTATGAAAATGTATTAATTAATATGTTTGGTCATATTTGGGTTATAGATTTTGAGATAATCCAATATGAACCAACCCAAAATCAATTCAATCTAAAGTTTGACGGGTTAGGTATAACCCATTTAAGTGAAAATTCAATATTAATCCGCCCAAAACCCGTTCAACCCGCCCAATTGCCAGCTATAATGCGCACTCCTATTGAGTAATTTGAACAGAAAAAAGAGCTTATGTATAGAGGTAAGCTATACTAGTTTGATTTTATGGCATTTATTTTCACATTTATTTTGTTATTCACTTCTTCTTTTTCTTGTGTCGCATTATAGTTTGATAGGCACCTATATCTTGGGAGAATACAAGCCAAATAATACTTATGAGGGCACGTAGAGGGTATTTGTCAATTTCTTGCTTATTTTGTGTGGCAAGGTAAGAGGAAAAGTAGTCGCAGCCAAGTATTATGCTAAAAGCCGTGTTAATTAAGGATTTTGTGATGGAAGAGGAGTTAAAACAAAGTCATTGCTCATGTTTACTTTTCTTCATCATTAGTTCTTTCACATCAAAAAAAAAGTTGAAAAATCTTTGCCTTTCATAAGAGGGATAAGAGTTAGAACATGGGAAGGCAATTGACATATTATGAATAGAGATGTACGCGAGTCGAACTACTCGCGAGTACCTCGGTCAACGGCTTGGCTTGAATTCGGGTTGATCTAGTTCGAGCCGAGTTTCGAACTACTCAATTGTCATTCGAGTCGAGTTTCGAGCCAATATTTTGATGCTCGAGACTTGTCGAGCTGCTCGTCGAGTCGGGTGAATTATAAATAATATATTTATAATTTAAATAATATATATATAAAAAATGACCATTATGGACATAAGTTATACTGAATTTATAATATGCTCTTCTTTGTAATAAAATTTCATAATGACAAAAAAATAATAATATAATTGTAAAAAGACCTAAAAAGAAAAAATGTCTAGAAAAAGGAAAGGAAAGACGGAAAGTGTGTCAAAAAATTGTGAAAAATTCCAGACTTGTTTCGAGAAAAAATTCAATTTCTATTCGAAGTACATCCCTTCCAACCACAGACTCTGAGTGATTTAGATCTAAACCCTATCTCCGTTACTCTCAGTCTCTCGCTCGTCGCCGACGCCGTTGCTCGCCGCATCTGTCAGACTCCATCGCCATCGCTACAGAGTGAGCTCGCCACATCTGGTTACTGGTATGTCTGCCTCTGCTCTAATGTAGTATGATTGATTACCGCATCTGGTTACTCCAATCATATTGTGATGCCCCCTGACAAATATTCATGTACCGTGTTTGAGTCCAGAAGAGGAATCTTGATAGGAATACTCCTTTTTGGCTTATGTTGGATATTGGTGATTTTAATAGCCTTAACATAGGAAACAAGCACCAATCTTGTTTATGGGTAAATTTAAGATGACTGGGATGCATGCTACATGTTTGTCAAAATGTGTAAGAGATGACAGAACGAACCTTATTAGCTCTGGAAAGACTGATACATGTCACAGAAAATCACTTGTTTTTTTTTTGGTAAGAATCACAGAAAATCACTTGTGATGTTTGCTTAAACCAAGTGACCGGGGAGACCCTATGAGCTGACTGCTATCTAACTTACTGTGCGGAGAAGCAGCTGAATCCTGAATGACAAGAGTTTTCAACTTCATTCTTCTATATCTTGTATTCTTGTTCAAACACTTGTAATTCTGCTGGACTATGGTCCATTTCTGAACCAAGAATATATTTTTCTGACATGTTCTTGTTTAAAGCAGCTTTCTTTAGTTAGTAATTAGTGATATTTGTGGGGAAAAGGAATTTCTGGATAGATCTTGGCATTAGTTTCTTGAATTGAGCTTGTGGTAGTTGGGATATTGTGGCTGTTTAAGATAATTGTTTGTCTCTCAATTTGGTGGCTCAGCTCATGTTTTGCTGAGTTTTGGAATTTTGTGGGGAATTTTGGTTAGTTTGGGTACTTTTGCAGGACTTAGGGGTGTTAAAGATGCTAACTGTGGGAGGTAGAATGTGGATACTTTTGGTTGTATTTGTATCGATGAATCATGGATTATATGCCTCATTTACTCCAACTGATAGCTACTTGCTTGCCTGTGGATCTTCCCAAAACGTCACCTTTTTTGGTCAGACTTATGTTCCACCCTTTTTTCCAGTCTACCAGTCAGCCAGAATTTTCCCCAGTAATAGTTCATATAAGCTTGATATTAAGCAAGAAGCAGTCGGCATTGGTCGAATCGAGTCAAAAAGTTTGATTAGACTCGACTTGATAAGGTTTGACTAAAGGTCGAGCCTTATCGAGTCGAATCTCGAGCTTAAAGGGAGTTTCTCGAATCAAGTCTCGAGTATCGATTTTTTGGACTCGGTCGAGCTCGAGCCGAGCTTGAGCCTAGGTACATATGAGTCGAGTCGAGCTCCCGATCTCGATTTGGCTCGATTACATCCCTAATAATTTATGAATCCACGTTGGCAAATCCTTTTTGGAAAGCCTCAACTCATTCGTCATCAACCACTACCTTAACCAAGTTGGAAGATCAACTAATGCAATCACTTGGGAAGTGGAAAATCAATCAATGAACAGAGTCATGCACTCTCTAGACCTTTGTCTTTCTCGGGTCATGCTCCACATGGTAATGTTATCTACTGTCATCACCCAAAAGCAAAAAAGTTAACATGCGTGTTCAAGGTTCGACACTTGAAGAGCTTGCCTTCGCCTTTAAGGATTTTCCTTTCTTTTCTAGAAGAATCAAGACCAAACATGTTTATTAAGAGAACAATTTCCCAATAGTTCCATCCATCCAAAGAATTAAGAGAACATTTCAAGGTGTTAATTACTCACCAATTCCTTCTGAGTGGTTGATTTTAACTAGATTTAATATATCCATGCCTTTTGCTGTCTCACCATGATCTCAATATAGAGAAATATAGACCATTATCAGAAAACTTTAATCTACATATTTTGGTTTAACCATTTTATTTTGTTTTGATTTTTTGGTTAAATAGTTATTAATAATGGCAAAGGTATTATTGTTAATTTGTGACATTTGATAAGAATATTTAGTCATGTCCGGCTGACAGGGGAGGTAAGCGAAATTTCACAAATCTCAGGAAAGCTAAGTGATATTATGAGAAATCTCTGGATGTTTTTGAATTATCCCTTATTACTAACACCTATGAGGTAAAAAAAAAGGTAAACAATAAAACAAGGCGATTGGATATAGCCATAAAGGAGCCAGACAATGGTAAAGTAATAAACGGGGCCAAAGAGTAAAATCAATAAAAAAAAAATCAAGGGCATTATTGCAAAACGGGCACTTAAATATCCGCCAGGGTTCTTACGCGCGATTGCACACGCAGACGCTCCTCACTGTCCTTCTCTGTATTAGTTTATGCAACCCACAAAATCAACAACAAATTGGTAAGTTCATTTGTTTGTTTATTTAGCTATGAAGGATTTTTTTCTCCCTGTTAAATGGATGATTTATTTATGTTTTAGTTTCTTGATCTTGATTGTAGCTTGTGAACCTTTCGCTACTAATGCCTTATTGTGCCTCTCAAGAGTCCTTTATTTCTTAGCGGTTAGCGTTTGTCATAACAATTTGTTTCTGGTGATTGGATTTTATTTTGTGCTTAGACCTATTGAAGTTCAATGAAATTGTTAGTTTTGGAGCCTGAGTTATTTTATTTTATTTTTTGGGTGGAACTGGTCTGAAACCTGAATGAAGATGGATGTAAGATTTATTCCCTAAGTTGGCTGTTAAGGTTTCTTTTGCGTGTGAGTGAACTATGAATGAAAATAATCCAAAAGTACTTGCACTTGTTCCTTACTTAAGCCCTCGAATGCCTTTCCTAGTTTCTCTTTCTCCTTTGATTTATTGAGACATTGGATAGTTTGGATTTTGAACAAGAAAATCTTGCAAGGGTACTTAATATTGAATCGATTGGTATATTTTGCACATTAGCTTTTCGGAAGGGTTAGGTTCATTCCATAAGTTGACCACTCTCTTTAAAGATTGTTCCTTTGTAATATTTGATTTCAAGCAAGAATGCGGCCTAATACCAAACATACTCCAAAAAACATTGTTTAGTATTTATTTGTTGTATGCCTTGTCTGCCATGCTCTGGGTATATGCATGGAAGTCAATTCCTAGAATGCTACCATTTACCAAAGCATTCTTGCATGTGGTCTTTTTTCCCAAAGCACATTCATGCAAAAAATATTTATCAAGCATGCTAGCCAATGGCATCTGATTGATGGACTGAAAATTTATGAGTGGTAAATGGCTTGCAATACTGGATGTCATATTGTTGATTAGTCTTCTTATACCAGTAGGATTTCCATATTCCAGAATGAGATGATAGTCCCTGAAAATATGAATGAGACTGACATCTTCCCCATTTCTTTTCTTAAGGTGAGAAGCTCACTGGAAATAGGATGTGAAGCTTCTATACGGGAAGGAAGGATTACATTCATTTGCTGCATTTAGTGCTACAAGTGCCAAAGGGCACTGCTCCGCCAGAAATCATCCTTAAATATTTATTTTTTTGTAACTATCTTCAAACCATGAAGCTTTCTGTAGTTTTCAAATCCTTACGTAGCTATCCCGCTCTTCGTGTGGTTACCGGCCCTCTACAGTCTCGTGCATTTCAGCCTGATTTCATTCCCAGGGATCCCAAATCGAAGCCCGTAAGACACAAGTATCCTGCTTTCTATGATCCTTATGGCCCTAGACCCCCACCTTCAGATAAGATCATTCGGCTTGCAGAACAGATTGCAGCCCTGTCTCCTGAAGAGCGTAATGTGATTGGTCCTACACTTAGAGACAGACTAAGGCATCCTAAGATTCAACCAGTTTTAGTGGAGGGCATGGACTTGGGTCCTCAGGGAGGGTCTGGCGTTGGGTCTTCAAAGGCTGAGGAGAAGAAGGTAGAAAAAACTGCATTTGATGTCAAGTTAGAAAAGTTTGATGCTGCTGCAAAAATTAAGGTGATCAAAGAGGTTCGTGCTTTCACAAATTTGGGGTTGAAGGAAGCCAAAGATTTAGTTGAGAAAGTACCAGTTTTAATTAAGCAAGGTATCACTAAAGAAGAGGCAAATGATATTATAGAGAAAATCAAGGCTGTAGGGGGAGTTGCTGTTATGGAGTAGATTTTCAACGAGTTTTGTATGCTTTCTTTGAACTGTTATCAAAGTTCTGTTGCCAGTTTTTTGCTCTGATAGACAAACAATTGCCATTCTGAAGATGTTGTTCTTGCATATTCAAAAGAATGAAACTTTCCTTGCTAGGTAGAGGAGGACCATTATGTTTTCCTTCAAATTTGGTTTTCATACTTGATATTTTGTGCTGACCCTTAATGGGATTTTGTGATACGGATGGGCCACGAGGGAAATGGGCTTAACAGATGTCTGGTTTGTGTAAAATTGCTTGTGTATAATATTGGAATTATTGCTAATTTAACTGTGGTTGCAACTTACAAGTAGTATGTTTGCTTCAGCATTTGAACATGGTGGTTGACTTTTTAGTGGCCGGAAATGGCCTCTGTCCATTTTTGAGATGTCCAAACAGTTACATTTCAGGCTTTTGCCAGGTATGGAAATTCTGGAATTGAATTATGAACTCTCAGAATGCGATTTTCAACTTAATTGATTAGGTGTAATGCCTCAGCAATTAACAGACCCATACTTTAGTAGATAACATTTTTAGCATCTTCGTGCAGTATTTGTAAATATTTCCTGAGCAAATATGAGATGTATAACCTTCATTGTTGTAGTCGAATAGCATTCCTAATTGACCCATTGTTACTGGTCAATTAATTCATGATTCATCTTAACTTGAAAGCAGTAGTAGAGTAAATAAACATGATTGTGGCCCAAGTTTTCAGTTCTTTGGCTAGATGACAGTTAATATACGACTATGGTCTTGATTTTTCAATTCTTTGGATGGATGGAACTATTGGGAAATTGTTCTCTTAATAAACATGTTTGGTCTTGATTCTTTTAGAAAAGAAAGGAAAATCCTTAAAAGGCGAAGGCAAGCTCTTCAAGTGTCGAACCTTGAACATGCATGTTACCTTTTTTGCTTTTGGGTGATGACAGTAGATAACATTTCCATGTGGAGCATGACCGAGTCTAGAGAGTGGATTGGATGACTGTGTTCATTGATTGATTTTCCATTTTCCAAATTATTGCATTAGTTGATCTTCCAACTTGGTTAAGGTAGTGGTTGATGACGAATGGGTTGAGGCTTTCCAAAAAGGATTTGCAAAAGTGGATTCATAATATGTCAATTGCCTAACCATGTTCTAACTGTTATCCCTCTTGTGAAAAGCAAAGATTTTTCAACTTTTTTTTGAGAAGAACTAATGGTGAAGAAAAGTAAACATGAGCAATGACTTTGTTTTAACTCCTCTTTCATCACAAATCCTTAATTAACACGGCTTTTAGCATAAAACTTGGCTGCTACTACTTTTCCTTTTACCTTGCCACACAAAATAAGCAAGAAATTGACAAATACCTTCTACGTGCCCTCATAAGTATTATTTGGCTTGTATTCTCCCAAGATATAGGTACCTATCAAACTATAATGCGACACAAGAAAAATAAGAAGTGAATAACAAAAGAAATGTGAAAATAAAAGCCATAAAATCAAACTAGTATAGCTTACCTCTGTACATAAGCTCTTTTTTCTGTTCAAATTGCTCGACAGGAGTGTGCATCGAAATTAAATTCAGTAATTTGGAACTTTGAATTTGGAATTTTTGAAAATTTGGACATTGGAAAATTCGATCGATTTCAAATTTGATTTCACAAATTCTAAATTCAAATTCGTTCCGAATTCAATTTGAAAGTTGGTAACAACCGATTTCACCTAATTCGGTAATTATATGTAAGTTTTGCTAAACTAAATGCCAATTTTTGTATAATATAAGTTTATAGTTATAACATAATATACAACTAACTTAACAAGACTTATTGTATTGTTTTATAATATAATTATTAGTTAGATGTATTATTATATAATATAAATTTTTATATTACATATATCTTTATAATATATAAGAAGGCGCTTTGGGTTCCTATTCATTGCAATTTCATCTGCTCACTTCAGGGGCATTTTTGTCCTTTTAGCTTTTCATCTGCTCACTTCATCTGCTTATTGCAAGTCTTAGCCTCTTAGTGGAACATTGGGTGTTTGCAGCATTAACAAGAAGCATTAATGAGACGTAATGTTCATTTTTTGGAGCCAGCTCATTTTGCGTTGTTTAATTACATTTTGCTCCTTCAAAATACTCATTGAATGGACTATATATTTTCAACTTATGTCTAACATAGTCATTTTACAATAGCTTTTTACTTTTGCTGTCAGACTTTAGAAAATTGAGCCTTCTCTTCTCCTGTTCTGTTGGTTTTGCTCGCTTTCCAGCTTATTGTTCTTCTCAGCTTCTTCTCGCTCTCTCTGTCTCTGGTTCCTGCCGAGAAGAAAAATGGCGTTTGGAGCCAGGAACGAGCAGGAAGTCAGAGGGATCGTGAATCCTCGCACCGACAAAAGAGACTACCGAAGAATCGTTCTTCACAACGCTCTCGAGGTCCTCCTCATCAGCTATCCAGAAACTGATAAGGTACTAAATTTCAATCCATCCGGTTTCTTCTTTTTCACCCTGCTTAATTTCTTTTGTTGATTTAGTATTTAATGAATGTTGGAGTAGGTTCTTTTAGTGATCCAGAAGGTCTTGAAGGCCTCGCGCATTTTCTTGGTATGATATTTTGATTTATTTTCTACTTAAACAAAATTTTGGCTTTTCTTTGTTTCTTCGTTCAGCTTTATCATTTTCCTTAAATAATTTTGGGTTTCTTCATTCTCTAGGTCTATGCAGCTGCTACTGTCTTTCTTGTACCATTTTTGGAGAGGAAAGGAAATTTCCTGAGGTGAACTTCAATTTCATTATTTTTGGGTTGTTTTCTTGCGTTGCTTAGGTAATTTCTTTTAACCATGTAATGCATCAAAATTCATAAAAACTCAATAATTTTACAGAAATTTGAGGAAAGTTTCATGGTTTTAAGTATCTTTTACCTTGTTTCGCTTTCAATCTATATGTATGGTAAATCACCCTTGCCGGAAGTCATAAAAGATTTCCTGTTTTGCTTTAAAATATTTGGCTATGGGTTCAACATCAATTTTACACTACAAGCTTCTACTTTATCCCGGTGGTTTCCTTAATGCTTTATACAACTCCACTTTTCTCGCCGTTATTTTTGGGCTTGCAAATTTTGTCTGCCGCTCTGATTGTAGTGTAATTTTTCCCTCATTTCTTGGCGGATTCTAATGCCTAATGTACTGGGTCCCCCTTTTTTTCAAAAATTTTGATTTTGTTATTGGTTTCTTTTTTGGACAAAAAAACTTCATTTATTTCAATGGACTTAAATTGATTTATCCCTTTTTTTTTATTTTTTCCCTGAATAAGAGAATTTTTTTCCCTTCCCTAAATTCTTAAATTTATATGCTGATAGGAAAATTAACATATTTAGATTATATACTAATTGCGTTCTTTTGTTTATTTGATTCTATGAAGAGATTGTTTTCCTCAACAAGAAGGTGCTGGTTGAAGGTTAGGAAGTTAGAATAGAAACTTCCACGGGGTTGATACATTTGCTTGTGAAAGTTAAAAATAACATATTGAATAGTTGTGCCTTATAATTTTCTTTGCCTTTTCTACTCTCGAATTATGATTTGGACTGGGGTAATTTCTTTTCTGGCCTGTTATTTCTTTTTTCTTTTTTCCAGTTCTCTTAGCTCTTCAAAGAGCCTATTACTTTGGTTATTATTATAGCATGGTTAGGTTGGACATTTTGTTTCTTCAATTTAATGGGTAGATTTTACAAACTTACTTTTCTTCTTTGCATCTCAAACTTCATAACATCTCATTAATGTTTTAAAAACTAGAAGATCAAATTTTTAGCAAATGCTTTTACATTTTGAGCATTATCATTTAATTACGTGGCCTTTGTTCTAGAAGCGTTTGTGAGCAAGTTGGGTAAAGCAGAGTTGACAACTGAACTATGTGGTTCATTGCCTACAATAGTAGTCGATTCTGCCCGTAGTAATTGTAAGATAAAACAGCCAAGTTTAGTCTGATCATAATCGTTTATTTATACTTTTTTGGTTTTTTTTTTTAATATTATTGACAATATCTTACTTGTGCTTTTATTTCCTTTGTATGTGAATTTGCCAAATGAGATTTTTAAAACCCTTTTTTCTATGGTTAGTCATTATTGGTGAAGTCATTTTGTTTAGTGTATGTGGTGTATGGTTCTTGGTATCTCAACGTTATAGTATTTAAATGTGAAAACAGTTTGAAAAAATGGAAGGAATATCTACTGAAAGGAGAAAAAAAATTTAACTTTTCAGGTTGTGAATTTTTTTGATTTATTTCCCTGTCATTTTTCCAATTTTACACTAGATTGGACCTTCAAGTTTCTGCTTCCTTTTCATTTCTTAAATTTTTGCTTACTTCTTTAGTTTTTCTGCTCCTCATAATCTTAGATTGCCGCCTATTTGATAGATTGAGGAAAATCACAAGGAAATACTAAAAGGAGGAGAAAAAGATTTAGCTTTTCAGGTTATCGTCTTTTCTTTTTATTTTGCGGTCATGTTTCTAGATTACCTTAACTTTGAATTTCAAATTTCTGATTTATGTGCTATTTGTGGTTTTGACGAAGTTTTGGTGCATGTTGAAATTGTTAATTTTACCAATTTCTGAATCATATATGAAGCTGGGAGGTTCAGTTTGAATTATTCTTGGGGAGGATATCTTTTCTCATAATGGTTATGCATTATACTCATTAACAATGCATTGTACTCAAAAAGACTTCTTTTTTGGTCTCTTTGTTTTTCTTTTTTGTAAAAAGGGCTTGATTTTGTAATCATGCTGTTGATTTTGCAAAAAAAAAAAAGGTTTAGAATTTTCCTTATTGGTATTTTGGATGTGGAGGAAGCAGAGGAATAGGATGTGGAAGAGTAAATAAACAGAACCCAGTGAGTTTGGGAGAACGAAGTAGCTTGCTCCAAGCCTGTACATCTACTTTTGAGAAGGTACACACATCAGCTTGATATTCATTGTTTTATTGAGCATATACTGCTACAAGAAAATTTTCAAGGTCACGTGTGTTTCTTGTTTCTAAAAGAAATTTTTTCTTAATTGCCGTACTGTGAAAACTTGTATCTGCTGAATGGGTATTCGTTTTGTTAGTTTTGCTACTATCAGATTTCCTTTGTTTCTAATGTTTAGGATTCTAATTTTCTGCTGCAGATGGTTTGGACTTATAAACCCAAGATGTAGACAGAAGCTTGAACTAGCTGGTCAGTGATTACAGTTTTTTTATAGGGAGTTACATGTAATTCTTGGAGTTCTAGTTGCAGACATGTAATTCTTGGAGTTCTATTATAGGAAAGTGACTCTATTTTTGTCTATTTTTTTTTCAAGTTTACTGAATTCA